CAATGAAGAATATGTTTATTATGATCACAAAAAATCAATAATTAATGATTTTTTTAAACATATTTTATGTTTAGAAAAAAAAAATAGATCAAATTTATGCAGTTTTAATACAATCCTCCATATGGATAACCAAATCCCCTACCATAAAAACCATAACCACCATAAGGGCCATAACCTCCATAACCGCCATATAGTTGAGGAATTGTTGGATTTGGATTTCCACCCATCATATTATCAAGATATGTACCCAGTCTACCTATATTAAAAGAAGTTGTTAAGGAATATTCGTTTTTTTCAATTGATATTTTTCGTGTATTTATCATTATTCATTCGAATAAAAAATAAATTATTACTGAGATTTATAATAAGAATTCAAAGTTTATTATAGAAAACAATACGATCTTTATCAAAACAATATTTTGAAAATTATAAACGAACCAATCAAAACTATTTATATATATGTAGTGACTACCAAAATCATTTAGCAAAGTTCATTTTAAATTATTTTCACTATCGAAATTGCAAAAAAAAGAAAATCCAAATAGTGATTCGAGAATAGGAAAAAAAACATATACTATAAGAATATAAAACGATTACCAGATTCTAAAAGATAGGATTTCCAGAAAATCGAACCATCAGTTTTTCAGTATCTAGCAGAGACAAATTTAAATGTGTTCAGAGTAAACGAAATCATAGAGCAAATAATTCTCTTCAACATAAGACGTTTTCAAGCTCTGTGCGACTCTTTTTCTTTTATAAGATTACTGTATGTCAACAAAATAAAAGTTGTCGAAAACTCGGAGACGTTTCATTCTTTTTAGAGAATTGCTTACTCTACCATTCCGTGAAATCTGCACAAAATTATTATTTTTCTCTATTCGAATCATTCTTTAAATCCCTTTTTGTGACTAAGACAGCGGAAAAAAACATTAAAAATAAGCCTTGTTGAATAGTTTTAGTAGCTACGGATAGAATTAAATATAAGTATATAATAAAAGTAAGAAATAAATTATATCCTAATAATATTGAGAGTAACATTTTACGATCCTTACTGTTTAATCCGCCGGGAATATTTCGTTCTATCCACATATCAGATGCCAGTTCTGCCATTATAAAAGGATTGCCACCATACATATTTAATGAATTACTAAATGCGTAGAAGTATCAAAGAGTATTGCTTTGTTTTGATCAATGAATAGAGACTGATTTCATTGCATTTATATACAATATGTTATTGTTGTAACATGACAAATATTAGTAATAAAAAATACCTGAAGCGTAACCAAAAATGACGTATTGATCCGATGACGACGTTTAAACAAAAGATATTTCTCGAAGTTTCTTTTTCCTTTATATCTGTTGATTTGATATACATATTTACAAATACATGCAACAATTCTATTTTGAAAGTAAAATTGGACTTTATTCCTTACTTTTAAAGATAATATGAATAATCATGACTAATTTTTTTTACCTTGTCAAGTAAGCAATGTTTTTCTCTCATCTGATCGTTAATCTTATTTAACACAATCGTATATTTTCATCAATTCATCGAATAAAATAAAAGCAAGTGTTGAATATTTTGAACACATTATTGAGTTAAAAAGATAATCACAAACTAAGAAAAAACTGTTTAAACAATAGCAAATCAAAATATTAACTAATAAAAAAAAAAAATCTTTAGTGAATATTATTTATTCTATATGATCATTTAAAATAGAAGAATAAATGAACATTTTCATTTTTAATTTTAAATATTTTCCAATAAAACAAATATTAATTCAAAAATATGGACAGAGAAAAATAAACAATGCCCTCATGCTAATGGGGAAAGAACGTTAAATAAGATTTCATCATTTTATTTATAATTTAAGTACAAAGGTTTGAATAACCATTCCATTAATGAAGTCAATGACTGCAAAATGAATACATCGTGATAACCGAAGGTTCTTTTTTTACTATACCTAAATATTTGTTCAATATAAGTTTTCGATTATTGAAGAAGAGTGGAAAGAAACTAAACGATCAATTTGTTTATTTTATCCCGAGTTATGAACAACATAAATTATGTTAAAAACTTTCTTATCTTTGATTGATTATTAAAAAATAAGAAATTCTAGAAGTGAATAATGTTTTACAATTCATTCAAGTAAAAACAATTTTGCGTTTAAAATCTTGCTACACATCACATACAAAGCTGTTTGAGAGTTGTGCGTATGTTTAGAAAAAAATTTGGTTAAATGTTTTAACTCAAATGCCTGCTTTTCAATTAAATGATTCTTTCAATATAGAAAATCTTTTGTAACAAATCGTTTTGATTTTAATGACATTTAAATCTTTTGCATGTAATTCTTGTTTAGGAACAACAATACTATATGCAGTAAGACTAAAATCTGCTCCAACAAAAGTTAAATTACAATAGACTTTGTTTGTTATATATTCTAAAAGATCAGTATTGCAAAAAAGAAACTGAAAATGTTCCCATAATAAGTACCTCTGTAAAGTGAGTTCTTTTAGCTGGTTCTGATGATACCCGAATTAGACAGCTTTTACTGTATATAAGAACAATGGAACTTTCCAAAATTCATTTTTTTTTATGATTAACTATTAAGTGGTAAATTTCTAGAATTTTAACAACATTTATCTATCGATCATATGAATGTTGCACAAGTTTTGACGCTTTCTGAAAGTTTAGAGTAGCATGTCAATGGACAAAGACGAGCTTCTGTTCATCATTACAAGTAAATTTTCGATACCTTTGATCGTACTTGAATTGAATGTAATAAAAAGTGCAACACTTATATGACAGATAAATAAATACTATTAAAATTCTACAAACTTACTATTTCAAAAACAAAAATGAATTTGAAAAGTTCCGTTGTTCGTATATATCTGAATTGTCAACATTTTAAAATTTGAATAACTCGGTCCAGGCTCGCTATCAGCAGTTCAATTTTTTAAATTTGATAATTTTGCTTTCGAAGTGATAATTTGACCCGAACATAGTTAATCTTATTAATTGGTATGACAAATAGTTCCATTGTCAGTTACTTATTTATTCTAACTAATTTATTTCGAGTAAGAAGCGCGAAAAATGAAAATAATTCGTTGAATAGCTATTTAATATCAAACACTATTTTATATAAGTAAGGAAAGAAAATGATTGGATATATGTGGATGAATAAGAAGATAGAATATTATAGAATTATTCTTTTATTTGAATTAAGAACTGTCGAAATTAAAAATTGACTGTTCAAATTGAGTCGGAAGAAGATAAGCTTAGAGATGATGTTTGGAAAATGATACCTTAGCCGAAATTGAATAAAACGAAACGAGAATTTTAAAAGAACAAAAAAATAAATGTTGTACGCAACATATTTACTATTACTTTATCTTTCAATAATAATAATTAATTTTGAAGTGATTACCGGCTGTCTTGTAGAAAATGTATACTGCTGTTGATCAATGTACAAAAAAACAATGAATCCGATGACAGACATTTAAGTATAAAATTTATCAGGAAGATATTAGAACATAAGATAGCGAAAAAATCTAAGAGGTATTCAACACTAGAAAGAAAAAGTCAGCTATTACGAAAAAATTTTAATGCATACTATTAAAAAAAATCGACAATATAGTACACTTAATAAAAAGGACATAAATATTAAAAAAATGAATAGAAATCATTACGCAAGCGAATCAATTATTTAAATTGTTTAAAATTTGTATATATTTTTTTTCTGTTGAATAATTATCAAATCTTTAACATAGATACGATCATTTTTGAATAACGTTAGGTTTAAATAGCTTATAACATGATGAAGATCAATAAACCAAATGAGTGCGGTGTGTAGGTAAGAATGTGGGTGTGAGAATACGAGCATTACCTACAAACACATCTCAATAGAAGCAACTATATAGTATAGTTGCCTTTATTAGCTGCATTTGGTATCATTTTCTTTCTTTTTGTGAATAATTCAACTACCTATTGTACGTTTTTATTAATTCAAATTTCAACTTATAAACAGACATTCACCTAAACTATATTTAGAGCGTTTTTTGCTAAAATAAAAAGAAATGCTCTTATCCAGTGAACCGCATAACACAACATTTTTCCGTCAGTAGAAAATTGAAGTAGAAGAATGATACTACAAAATACTAAAAGAAGGATTTCGACAATGTTGCTAGACTATGTGCTATAGTCTATCAAAAAACTCGAAGCCAATGAGTTTCGATCTGAATTGTTTTTCGATTTTCTATCAATCTCTTATTAAACTGAATGCTTTATTGGATCATTCTCCATTTGTTTGCGACAGACAGACATCCTTCTATATTTGTGATGCGACAGTTTATTGATATATTTAAGTATTTCACATGGTTAAGAAATTGGTTCATTGTTTCTTGAATAGATAATTCAAATGATTCAGTAATTTTTCGAACAATATTAAAAAAGTAAAACAATACATATAAGAAGCACAACAGCATCGATAGTTTTTTTTTATATATTTTTTAAAAGCTCGACTGAAAATATTATTTCAAATATAGTTCAAGAAAAAGTTTATTAATTTATCATTGTTATATATAGAACAACTATAATTGAAGAAGAACTGTTAACAGTAATGATGAGACTAGTACTAATAATTTATGTTGTAGTAGTAACAGCTGTTGTACTACTGGCGGTAGTAGTTGTTGGTGTTGATACAGGATTAACGACAGTTGTACCTAAGACCTGACCAAGTGAATTAAAAACTATATTGACAAGTCTATTATCTATTTGAGATGAACCGACTGGTGGTGGATAAGTATATTGTTTAATAATATTTCCATTTTCTAACGTTTGTGTAACACCAGTAAATGTCATATTTTGTAGATAATCACCAACATCAACTGATGAACGAATTTCTCCTGCAGCACCCAATACTAAATTAATAATCTTACCAGCTAAAAAAAAATTAAAATTTCAATATTTTATAATATATAAATTATCTATATAGGATGTCTTACTATTATCAATAATTTGATGAATAAGTTGTCCATTTTGTGTAAGTGTAAAAAGTAAATTATCAATTGTTCGAAAAACACCATTAATAATTGTTGTAAGTAATGGATTAAGATCAAGTGAAGCCATTGTTCGTGTAACAATTTTAGCAACATTATCAAGATATACAGCTAATTGAACTTGAGCTTTAACACCTATATAGAAAATAAATTCAAATTCCCGAAAATTATTTTTATTTATTAATTTTACCTAAGATTGTTAAATTAACTTTATCAATAGATACATCAACACCAGCATTGAGAGAAACTAAATTAGCAACATTAGCTGCAAGACTTACATGTGCTTTAAGATCTTCTACAACTAATGAAATTTCATCAACGCTTAATTTAGGTACATTAAGCCAAACATCAGGTGGATTACTAATATTAAAAGGTAAAGCAGTACAAACTGAATTTGGATTCTTTGGACATGTTGAATTATTTGTCTGTGTTAATGCCCAATTAGGAATAAAAATAATAATTAATAAATTAAATAGAGAATAAGCTGCATAGTATTTAATTGAAGCCATATATTTTTCTAATATGAATATAAACAATAGACGTATATCTGAAGCGATGCAAAAAGTTTAAATATAACGTATTTGTGATTTGAGTACCTAATAGAGTTCTCTATTTGATACATTCTATATCAAGATTTCATTGATGAACTATGATGATAAGACTTCTAAAAAAAATGGATACGATCATTTTCCGATCTCAGACGATTTTGATGAAGCTATTTTTTTAACAATGCCATCACAAAGGGCATAAAATTCTGAATAAAATGAACGATCGTCACATTGTCTACGACTTTCTCTTAAAAGCATAATAGAAATCGAAAAAAAAGGGCTTTTTCGATTGATTTTTAGGAAACTTTTTATAAATTTCGTTTCTTTTTACGGTTATTTTTGTGATGCTTTTAAGAGAAAATCGTAGAAAATGTAACGATCGTTCATTTTTTCACAATGTTGTGCTCTTTCCAATAGCATCGCTAATAAATAGTTCTAACAAAGTCTTCTGAGACCTAACAACTACCGTATCCGATTGTTTAGAAATCTTATCATCATAGTTGATCTATGAAATCTTGGTATGGGATGCATCAAATATAAAAAATTCATTGATTATAAAATCACTATCTGGATTTGAACTAGATGCTTAACACTATAGAAAAAAAAAATCAAAAATATGTTCTTATTAAACTGCTTATCACTACTTTATATAAAATCGTTTTTTGTCCTCAATGATGCTTTTACCTCAATTGATGACTGACAGAAAGGAGAAAAGAGTAGATATGTTTATTTTTATTTTTATTGATACGTTTAATCGTCATGCATGCGTGATTATGGGTTATTTTTAGTTGTTTTATCCTGTTGATGAATAAAAGAATCATAGAGTAAAAAAAAACCTCAAAAATAAAAAAAGTAGTTTTTGTGTTTATTTAAAGGAGATTATCGATCGTATTTTGAACACCTTTGATTGTTCTTGCTAGAAGAGGATTAAGATCGATTGATTCAAGTGTTTTATTGATAATATCGACAATTTTATCAAATCCTACAGCTAATTGAACTTGAGCATTAACACCTATATTATATAGCAAATAAATTTATAAAAAGAGAAAAGAAAAAAAATTTAACTTTTTTTTTGTTTCTTACCACGAATCTTTAATTGAACAGTTGAAATACCTACTGAAACACCAGCATTAATATTAACGAGTGATGCGACTTGAACATCAAGATTTAAACGAGCTTGAAGATTATCTACACGTAATTCAATTGTTGATACTGTTATTTTTGCATCAAGCCATACATCAGGTGGATTACTAACATTAAATGGAAGTTCTTGTGTACAAATAGATGCACTTCCTGTACAATTATCTGTTGATATTTCTTGATAATTTGTATAACCAATTGTAGAAGTCTTTTCAACTAAATAAAATTCATAATAGAAATTTTTCTTTAAAAATAAAATGGAAACTAACCTGTTTTACCAGTTATAGATACTACTAACAATAAGATACTTAACAATAACATATTAGAAATAGTTTGATTGGATTTCTTTGGTGTTTGTCTCTATTATACAAAACTTAAATTAGTAATCTGATCAAGCGTAACACACATTTGTACGTCTTTCTCTTTCATTTTACCTTTTTTATTTTTATAACAAATACAAACAAGTGATACGTGTAATAATCATGTCTACGTTATTATTCAATAAATAAAATGTACATCGTATAAATCAAGAGCTTTTTATATCTTACGACTAACAAATTATATTCTATAAGCTATCGAATTGAAAAATAAGCATCAATCATCAATTGAAATGATTCAATTTGAAAAAAAAAATCTAATATACAAATCATTATTCAAACAAATTGTCTAGAAGTTTTTGAAAAACACGAACACGAAGGAATATTGAAGTATACAATGAGATTTTCGCTTTCCAGCTGCCTTATGGATCATGATAGACACTTTAACAATAATCTATTATAAATCGTGAATGGCGTAGTAGCGACAATTAATTTTTTTTTAAATATATTTTTACAAATGAGTATAAGAAAAAGTCATCAAATTAAAGGTAAACTGAAAATATCTATCGAAGGAAGATCCTCAAATGTGAATCTGCATTGTCAATCGGCTTCATGCCAGTTTGTAGAGTCCAATGAACTGATCACGATAGCATAAAGTGTTCTTCATCATAGTCTGTCTTTCAGAAGTTAGGTCGATCTCAACTATAGAAAAATAATTATAAGCTGTTATTTCGGAAATTTTAATTCTTATATTAGTTTAATTTTCTACGTTCAAAATATTAACACTGGATATATGTCTTAATTTACTGTATACATTCACACAATCAACATAAATGGAAGTCCTAACTACGTTTTCTATATTGCATATTTCAAAACTATTAATATTGTGGATATAAGGAATTGAACTATTTTCTCAAAATTCATCTATTTAGGACATACATTAAAATTACATGTTGATCATGTGTCAAATACCTACCTTATCTATTGTACTTTTTGACCTAAACATGCAGGAAAGCAACTAAATAGAATATAGACTATTAAAAGCGAGATATTTGACGAGGTTTTAGTTATTATGTCCTTAAAATAGTATTTCGAAAGAAATCTTGATCAGTTTTGAGAAAATAGTTCAATTCTGTACGTCCATAGTATTAATGATTTTGAAATATGAAAAGTATAAACGTGGTTAGGACTTCTATTTATGTTGATTGTGTGAATATGTACAGTCATTTAAGCAACATCCAGTGTTAACATTCTGAATGCAGAGAATTAAACTAATATAAAAATTAAAATTTCTGAAATAATAGCTTATAGTCATTTTTCTACAGTTGCGATGGACCTAACTCCTGAAAGAAAAACCATGGAACTTGGAGACCTCCTCTTGTAAGATTATATTGATTTAATTTTGCGTGATGAATCAAGCAGACTATCAAGTATATCGACTATTGACTTTCGTCAATTTGATAAAATCTATCTTTCTATTAGTAATAGTAATTCTTTCGTGTTTCACATTTTAATCGTACAGAGATTGTACTAGCAACTTTTCTTATTTATGTTGTAAACTTTTAATAATATATTCAATTATCTATTATTATTAACGTATGAATAAGTATTGTAAGTAGATCATAAATGTAATACTTTTATTAAGCTATAATAATAATTATTATTTGTTAATTGTTTTCTAATACTATTTCAAAATTTATTCAATTGACGACTGTCAGTTTATTTGATCAACTCTCTTGAACTTTGTTTTGATTGATATAATTTATAAAATAATTCGCTTGAAACTATGACGCATTTAACTACAGCATTTAGTCTCAATTAGTGGGATTTTTTTTTCTAGTAGACTTGGTTCCAGTCAGTAAGATCGGAATTGAGACTAATACTAATCTCACATGTTTCTAATCTGGATGCTAAAATTGAGTAATAAGCAATATTTCTTGATTTAATTAGGTTCTGAATAAAATATTAAAAAGAATTTTTATATAAAATCATGAGTTGAGAGTGTGTGAATAAGATTCATACCCACTCACAATCTTTACATTGTTACAATTACCGATTTTAAGTTATTTTATTGAGTTGGAATTCAGAAAAAACATAGTTCATTTGGGAAAAAAAATCAATGAACTTATTCTCGCTCTTATATCAATTTGAACTCTTTGATTTTGGAAGATCCAATCTGGTTTCTCGGATACCAATATAATATATTATTTGCAGAATACCAAACAGAAGCGCTATTGCCATGACTCGACGGAGTGATTCCTACATAAAAACATTCGAAGGTTTGTTTTGATATATTTTTCTAAATTATAATAAAAAGAAGAATTCAATTAGACATTCTGTCATACGCACATCCTGCACAATCGATCATACCCAGATAAAGATTTTTGTTATCTTTTGATTGAATGCGAGTTTTGATCACTGAAACGAAACAATGAACAGAAGTAAGTTTAAAAGTGAAGAATTAATCACTTAGAGTTGGGTATCATCAAATCGGGTTACCAAATATCCGGCAATACTACTAGCGACAACATCAGAAATAAACGTACGGCACAATGGTATTTTATTATCTTCTGAAAAACGGACTTGGTTGTTCAAATAAGAAAACAACGGAAAATAAATCATAGATAGAGATGTAAGTCGATAGGTTAATCGACAGCGGCGGTTGTAAAAACTTAAGTTTTTTTATGCTCACGGCGGCTGGAAATTTCGAAACTGAATAATGATTTCGATGATAAGAAACACCCGTTTGTTTCAATATCTGATTAATAATAATTTCAAAAAAGCTAAATGAAATAACTGTGTATCGCACGTTAGTTTAATGAAGACATTACATGTAGGCAATATGAAGATGAGTAATGAATTACTGAACAACTTTACCCAAAATTAAGAGATCCAGTGATCCTAAAGATGAACATACCTAATTGATATATATCAAAATGCCAAAAAAAGTTGCCCACTTTAGTTTTTAACAATAGAGTCTAGAAGACTATCTCTATAAAACATTAATTTTTATACATGCTCGAGCTATTGTTTTAATTCTACAGCTTTTGTTATATAGCGGCTTAGAGAAAACAGGAAGATAATATAATAATTTGTTAGTTTGATTTGCTGAGTTTCTATCACTTGATAGATTGATAAAAAAGGATTTATTATATTGCATGTATCAGTTTATACGCTAATTCTTTTTTGATTGAGGATGAAGTATCATCTTTTTTTGTTCAAATTTTCACTTATCCAAGCAAATTTTGCAATAAATTCATTGAATATCTAACATTTCATTCGCTCTTTTCTGTAAGTGACCCAAGTCACAACGAATAAATTATCATTTTAGTATATAGATTTAGATGCAAATCCAACTTAAGCCACCAACATTAATAAAAGTGTTTTGCACTTCTACTATTATTCCGAATACAAAGTATTAATTTCTCGTACATATAAATAACTGAAAAGATTAAGGAAGAAATTTCACCATTCAAACATAGATGAAAATAGATTTTAAAAAATTTCGATTTTCGCATGTAGATTTCGGGGGCGATCGCTAAAGCTTTCAAGAATTTTCTTTATTAAGAGCAGCACAGTGGTTGCACCTGTTGTTGTCCAGCGTTGGCGGCCACTCAGCTACACGATTTACATTTCTAACTGTGAGTAATTAAATCAAACGCGAGCAAATTTAGATGTGTGGGAAGTGGCGAAGGATCAAGATTTCGTATACAGTGCTATAAATCTTTCTGTGTAGTAGCGTCATCCACACAAAACGACCATTACTGCACGATCTATCGTTGTTGATTAACTCTATTGATATCCGTTTTCTAATTACTCAAACTAGAAAATAAAGAGATGTATGAATTTCAGTAAAGAAGGAATATTTCTTGGACCACAATAGCTATGAAAATTTTCGTAGATCGGTAGGAGATGGTCCAGCCTATCTATCCATTGTACAAGAAGTAAAGAACTATTGGAGTATCATAAGCTTATAGTCAAACCTTTGGCAGATTTAAAAGATGCAGCAACGTTAAAGTAAGATTGGCTCTTGGTTCTTTTAAAGACCTGTGTTTCCTAAAGTTTTCTATCCTGAAACGAACAATAGCACATAATACTTGTATAGTCTTCAGAAAAAGAGGAGAAAAATACAGATTATAAGAACCTGGTGTCGATCGTCCAATTGAAATTAAAATGGTAATTAAAAGAGATCAAAATCTTTCCTTGGTGTATCATTTCTTGTCTAGAAAGACATAAGTAGATTTCAATAACTAATTTATTGAAGAGAAATAATTAAAGATGGATAAGACAATCATGCTTAAGACAATAAAAGTTGAGATAGCCGTACAATAATGTGACATACGACAGAAAAATGAAATATATTGTTTACCTTCTGAAGATATATCTAATAATTCAATAATCTCTTTGACAACATTGACTTTGAAATTATTCCGTAAATGTTTTTGAAATGAAACTGGGACGTAACTAATTATTACTGTTCTTATATAATTTTATATTTGAAGGAGACTTGATTATTTTTCTGATGGTATAGAACAACTATATTTGATCAATAAGAATTAGAATAAATAACGAAAGAATAAAAGATATCGGATGAGATAGATTCATCGATACAATGCTTATTAAGTCTAGAAAGAGAAACAATATAAAACCATATACGTGTAGAAAAAAGAGACTTGGATTGCTGAATTGAAACGATTATGTATCAAGTTAAATAGGTTATACTATTTCCTGCTTTCTATCATTTCCTTCAGAGAGAGAGAGAGAGAGGTCCAACTCATTCTAAAAAAATAATTAATAGTTTCATTCGATGTAGATCAATCTAGCACTAAAATATTTAGATGCTTTCGATTTATTTTCATTGTGTTTAATTTTTCTATAGATTATTCTATATTAATTTTATTACATCATATAAAGTTTAATGTTCTTTAAAGAATATATTTACAATATCAATTGAATATCAACATTATTACATATGCAGAATAATTCTATTTGTATTCAAAGATCAAAAATGAAAATGTCATTAATTTGTTAATCTACTCTTTTTTAGTTTTAATTATAAATCTAAACTTTTCATTTTATTTCTTTCCTAATAAAAATCAATATATACAAATCTTATTTTTCCATTAAAATTTTTTTCAAATATTGTTCATTTTTATTAACAAAATTAAAAAAAGTTGGATCCATAATACATGTTGAAAGATATTGACGTATAAAATCTGTTCGAATATTCATTGTTGTTGATTGTTCTAATGCTAATATATCTTTTGTTTCATTAAAAAATAATGAATGAAACATTGTTGGTTGTATTGTTTCAATACAAATATTAAAATCATTTGGTGAATAGATATTTATTGAAAAATAATCACGTAATAATTTTAAACATTGATTAAGATCTTTGTCATTGATAAATTTAATACGAAATGAACGTGTTAAATTTGTTGTAGAAGATGTTGGTGGCCATGTATAATTGAAAAGAATACTTTTACGATGAACATGAAGATGTGTACAGTTAAACATTAACCAAATGTCTATGATAAAGAAAAACAAAAAAAAATTAACATTCAGAATATATTTTAATTGAATGGTCTGAAATATTCTGAGCTTTGTATGAGCTTCGAAAATTGTTTTACAATTGCATAATTGAAATATGAACTTATTAATAAATCATCGAAAAGTGGACATCGAGTTAGATGATAGGATATATCCAATTGTCAGACGCCATTCAACTACATGTTACGGCTATTAGTAAGGCTCTGTGAAATTAAGAAAAAGATTAAAAGGATTCAGATCCATGATCTACTCATGAAGAATTACCACCGTTTGAATGTAATTACTATTGAGAAAAAATAATTTTCGAAAAAATCCAAAACAAAGAGTTTCAGGTTGAAACTTTATCTACAGAAATGTTTGATAATTTTGAAAGTTTCAACGATAACGAACTCAATTTCCAAATAGAGTCGATTAATGAGTTGTCTTATAGTAAACCTCTATTGTTTTTGAAAATCAAATATCTCAAGAAACACATGTTCGTTATCGTTGAAAATTTCAAAATTATTAAATATGCTTGTAGATAAAATTTTCACATGAAACTCTTTGTCTTGGATTTTTCGAAATTAATTTGTTCCCAATAAACATTTCATTAAAACAGTTCTAACTTTTCATCAATAGATCATGAACTCGAATTCTTTTAGATTTTACTTGATCTCATTAAGATCTATGCGTAGTCATACTATTTAGTCGAATGGTATCTGGCAGTTGGATATGTTCAATCGTGATTTCTATATAGGGGAATTGGAAAATTTATAGCTTAGATAACAGGCTATACATATAAAAAAATGACTTTTGAGAAAGAAAAAAGTCTTGGTTATGAAATTACGTTTTAAAAAATGATTATATTTTTCTCAGTATTTATTTCTTTAGAAAATTAACTTTGCGAAAAAAAAATTCAAGGAAAAGTATTTTCCATTATGCTTCTGATAATGTGAGAATTTTATGATTAAAACATGGAGTGTATACTGGATACTATCACCAAAATGATGCCGGCAATCCAAGTAATGATGACAATTCGAAACCATCATAAACCAATTAAAGAATTGGATATCGAAGTTATAAAATCCCTTTGTCTACCAAATATATGATTAAAATGATAATATAAGAGAAAAATTTTAGTCATACGATGGTGATTTGTTCTTTATCAAGAAACTGAAAGGTTCATAAAAAAGCTAATTACTTCTTTAGTTAGAGAGAAAAAGGTAACATTAGATCATTTATTCCTAGAATCATAAATATCTTACTGATGTTTAGAAATGAATTACAAAGGATTTTCGTAACATAATCATTTTCATGGAATGAACTATTTTTCAAATATAATTAACCTTTTCACGAAGATAGCACTGCTAAAACTTTCTATGTGGCAAATGAACTGTTTGACCTGACAGTTTAACACCTCTAAAATAAAAACAAATAAATCATTTTTTCTAATAAAGAATGAATTCAGAAGAGACCATAGAAATGAGTTTTCAACAATTCTTATATATCGATTCTATTTTTCATCAATTTTCTCCAAGTTCATTTATATCTAAAGTGTTCAATAAGTTTCGGGACTGATTTTAAAAAAGACAAGAAGTTCTGATGTCTGTGGATAGTTTGCACAGTACTACTCTATGCGTAGACATGATGAACATTATTTGATTAAAGACTAGAGCAATGATATGGCAATTCTAACGGCACTAATGCAATATCAAAAAGTTCAGTAAGAAACTTTCTTTGGCTGAGAAGGGGAGTTATGAACTAATATTGAGGAATGCATGATGACAGTACTCCTATCATTTACTACAATATTTACTGAGCTATTCATTTTGAAGAGCGAGAATCCAGCAGTTGATCGTGATTCGAGATGTGATCGATACTATTTTTCATACTATTAAATTTTAGTTATCAAGGATCGTAGCATCTCAATAGATGCCATTAGCATTTCAACTAAGCTGTAATGACATCTTACATCATCAATTGCACATGATAAAGGTTTATTCAAGATATATTTTAATCATATCGAAGTTCAACATTGATATTTTATTATCTATCTTGAAAACGAGAAGCTTCTTCAGAAATCTTTGCAGATTGCTTTTTGATATTTCATCAGTGCCATCCTATCCACAGACATCAGCACTTCTTATTGTTTTTTTTAAATAAAATCAGTCCAGGAACTTTTTGAACGCTCTACGTATATTATGATGTAGGCATGACAATACACAAATTGTCAATAGCTGTTATTTTGTTCAAAAAATCAACTACATAACAAGACTTCAATACTGTGACAGTCATTCTTTTTTTTTCATGATCACCAAGTAATCATAGATAAGAATTATCTTAGAATGAATTAATTCAGTCAAAGATTTTTTTTCAAACAAATGAATAATAAATTACAATTGCTATCTAATAAGCTATTGAAAAATTGATTTCTCTTGTTATTACCCATTAATTCTTCAATACATTGGTCTGATGATATTATCAACAATTGTAATGTTGGTGTTATTATCATTTTTAATGATGTTTGATTTACATCAAGATATGACCAAAAATATTCATTTTTTGATGTTGAATTCGAATTTAATCGTCGAGCATAATTTGTTAAACTCCACGAATGAATAGCAGGTATTAATGACATATTTTCTAAAATGTAATTGTTTATTTCAAAGAGAAAATAAAGCAAAAGCCATATTTCTTGTAAGCATGAATTATTTAAGCAACATAACATACGCGAAGTATTGCTAGCAAACAAAAACAAAAACTGTTTTCCTGATTGTTCATTATATATTAAAACAAAAAACAAAAAAGGAAAAACGAGATTCTCAATCTGACACATATATTAGATAATATTGTTTTTTTATTAATGTGGTCTTGCTCGTGCTGTATGTTCAGCTGGTGGTTGACTATCACTTTTTCTTGGTTTATATTTAAGAAAATCTCGCATATGTTGAACAATAAGATCAACAGCAACATGATTATCAGCACCACGTGGTATAATAACATCGGCATATTTTTTTGTTGGTAAACAAAAATCTTCAAATGATGGTTTAACATAATTTTTATAACCAGCTAAAACATATTCTAAATTTCTACCATGTTGTTTCATATCACGTAATACACGACGTGCTAAACGAGTATCAGCATCAGTATCAACAAATAATTTCATTTGAAATAAATTCTAATTAAACAATATAAAAGATAATTATTTATTTATTTATTTAAAGAAATAAATTGATTTAATTATGAAATATTAATTAATTCAATGACAAAAATTTTTCGAGTAGATATACATATATCTGTCGGAAAGTTTTAAGTAGATTGCATTTAATGAAAAAACGAAACATTTCATCAGAAATTTTTTTGTCGACTAGGAAAGATCTATGCCAAGAAAATAGCTGAATTTTATAAAACTTGACTAAATCATAGGAAATAAACTTTCTTCTGACTGAAAAGATCAAACTCGAGAATTTTATCAAACCATTGATAGATTCGGATTTCTCGACATCGAAAACCTTCAGTGAAGTTTTATACAGAAAAAATCTTATTTTCGAAAAATAGCCTTTCCCTAACGGAAAAAATCGAAATAAAATCTGTGATCATCGTAGGTTTAAGACACATTGATAGTTTCCTCAAGAAATCGATGATTTTGGTCACTGGTTGATCTTCATAGGATACTGAGAATACTTCTTCAAATTACACACATCCTCTTATCTACACAATGCTGTACATAGGATGTTTATCATCTGAAAACGGATCGATGAATTAACATATTTGGCTCGCTTTCATTTTGATGCAAACTATTCGCCACGTACCAAAAATAGGATCAATATCAACAACTATTCTTTCTACTTTTATTATAAAGATTTATTCAACACTCTTAATTTCTATCTAGATATTGATCGGTTAGTCTTCGCTATAGTCCTACCGGAATCGGGATTAAAATATTTTTGTGCAGTACAACAGCAAGTTATTTGAAACTCATAAACATTGACACAACATAATTTTAAGTTCTATCAAGTCAGTCAAAATGATTGTAATATCGAATGTTTTGCATCAGAGGCCGAATTGAACCGAATTTTACTGGTTTGAGTTCGATTCGACTCTATTTTCCAAAGAGCGGTTCGGGTTCAGTTCGATGCTTTTTTTGATCTCTGATATAAAACAATCGATCAAACATCGTTTGATTATTGGCAAGGGCATCACAATTTTACAAGAAAGATGATACTTCAACCAATCATTTTTCTTATACGTTTGTCTAATTAGTTTGAGTTCGGTTCAGTTCGATACCGTTTTTCAAGAGCAGTTCGAATGCATTTTAAAAACCTAGTTCGGGTTCGTTTTCAGTCTCTGTTTTACATAGATTTCAATACAGATAAATAACATTTGTTTATTTTTAGATATATCTCATCACCAACAAATCATTTCATGGAATATTTGTTTGCATTGAGATATTATGTGAAATATTCAATGTTCTAATATCTCTGAAATATTAAAATCTGTCGAATCGTTAATTTGTTTTTCATACTCGAATTTCTGGAAAATAAAAAATTAAAATTCCTTCAATTATAATAACTGGCACCGGTGCAATTGTATCCATAATTCCTTCTACATGTTCATATTTTCCTGTATTATAACGAGCAATCTAAATAGAAATGAAATAAGACAACAAAAAAAAATCTTGTTTGTTTGTTTTTTGGTTTATAATCCTTTTAATTCTTACTTGGACAGTTTTACCATTAAGTAAATCTTGTAAAGTTTGAAATAAAAGTTTTTCATCAAAAGCATCAGGATGATCAAGATTATAATTTCCTCGTATAGCCATTTCACGTTGTTCAATTGTTTTAGGTTTATAAAAATTTTCCATTGGTATAACAGTAACAAGACTTGCTTGATCAGCACCAGCAGTTGATTGAAGATCTTCAACTATTTTTTGACATACTGTTGATTTACCTGAACATGGACCACCAGCAACACCAATTAAAAAAGGAACAATAGACATTTTTAAATCTATTTTTTATTGAATTAATATCTGAAATAGACGAACAAAAAAAAAAAAAAGAATTGAATTATTCAAAACCTCCACTAACAAATTTAGAAGTATTTATTTGTTTATCATTTATAAAAAAATTTTTTATTTCTTCTTTTTCTTCAATTTTATCTTGTTTTTTCCATAAATAAATATTTCCTTCTTGTGCTGTAAGTAATTTATCTTCTTTTGGATGATGTGTTAATGTATTAACTGATTTTCGATTATCTGACTCATGTTCAATAGAACATATTTGTTTAGCTGTTAATAAATTCCAACATATTAAACGACCATTTTCTGAACCACTATATATATATTGATCATCATTTGATAAAGCATTTTCAATCATATATGTATTATTTGTATAATCAACAAATGTTTGTAATAATTTTCCATTTATTTTATCAAATAACATTATTTGACTTGATAATGTTCCAACAAGAAAACATTGTTGATCATGTGATATATTAATATATGTTAAATTATGTCCAATATAATCTTCATATAATTTACCATAACGTATATCATATATACGAACACGTTGATCAAGTGAACTTGTTAATAATTCATTATTACCTAATGATAAACTTGTAACACTATCTTTAGCATCATCTAATACTTGTATTGGATCATATTCACGAGATTTAATATCCCAAATTTTAACAGTACCATCAATTGATGCTGAAAATATTATTGATGCTTCTTCATTGAAACGTACAGCTTGTACACGACCTAAAAATTATATATTTAATTTAAAGAAGTTAGACTAAATATTTTATATGAATAAAAAACAAATTAAATAAGATAATATATATATATAATCATTAAGAAATTCAGTGTAGTTAGTGCATACTGATTATACGGACGTACTGACAGAGTAGTATCAGTGTGTTCACTGAAATCCTAGAGCACACTGTTACAAAAGAAAGGTATATTTTAATAGAATTGATGTTTCGATGTTACAGCGATATTTCAACTGTACATCTCTAATCTAAACAGAAAATTTTGTTTTACATGAAAAGATAAAGCTTAGAAGTTATTGATATCTACTATAATTCTTTTAGACTGATTAGATTTTACGAGCTGAATACTAGTCAGTAATTTATTGAGTTCTATATTTCATACACTAACTTTTCTTAAGGTTTCCTCAAAAATCTATCTCAGGTCAGGAACATCCAAATTGCATGACATTTTCAAGATATGTTGGGACTGGTGAGCGATGGCTATGGTAAAACTTTCAACTCTATATCATGACGTTTGACAGAGATATTCACCAAACAAGGGTCAAAAATAGCTCGATCGTAGCGTCAAGATTTCTCTAACATTAAAATTTTTTTTTGTTCGAAAGCTTGTGTCCAGAGCTAGCCCCTCTCGTGGCTCTTTTTATTGAAACTCTTACTTTTTAAGCGAAGAAAAGGGTTGACAAGTGTAATGCCCCAGAAAACTCCTAAAAAAACGGCGCTGTTTTCATAGAGGTGTTTTCTTCTATGATAACAAAAAGGCTTATTTAAAAAAAAAACGGCTTGTTTTTCGAATAGGGAATGACGAAAATCTTCCAAAATTTTTGGATAAAAAGAGGTGCCGAATAAAAATTTTTGTCGCGCATGAAAGAGTAGCTGTCGGGCTATTTCTTCATGAATTTATCTCCATTTCGATGATCCTAGCGAAAAGCGACTTTTTTGAGGGAAATCTTAAATAGATTTCTCATTATCTTGCAGTAAAATTGATTAAATGTGTGCCATTTTAACCTTAGTATTGCAACGAATACACAACCGATACTTGATAAGAAAAAAAAACATTTGAAGTTTTATAGAAGGAAAAAAGTCTGAGTCAAACAATCACGATCGTCAACAAGGCTATACATTATACAATTTTAATATGCAACAGTATTAAATGTTAAAATATGATCACAAAGGAAAATATGTAATGTACATAAAAATAATCGTTTCGTATAAAATAATGAAGCTTTTTTTTTCTATAGATTAATGGGCATGAATCTGTCGTCGAGAAAGAAATGGTACAATTATGAAAATTTGTTGATTAAACAACTGAAATAAATTACATTTCTTTGTATTGCAAGACTAAAAAATTCCTTCAAAACTAGTTCAGAGAGTAAGTGCCGTATACTATTTCTCAAATTCTTATTCATTTGCCTTGAGAAGTTTTATTATATTTGTTGGAATGATTTAAACAAGATTAATTTGTCAATCATTGTAGACAGTAATGTGATAATTCTTAATCTTATATCTTTTTTTTTTTGTGAATAGTTTTTAATACAATTTTTTATATGAAAATTTGATATGACAAATTTGTTTAATAATATTAGATGCAATGATTTAAGCTAACTAATATCATAAAATGATCTTAATCGTTCCATTCCATTTCGATACAACTCTGATTTTTACAATCTTTCGTACTGTACTTGTAAATTCATTATACTAATTTTTTATGTGCTCGTTCGAATACTTAAACATCTCTATTCAAATACCACTAAAGATATGCGAAATCGTGATCATGAGAAAAAAAATAGGTTGTTTGAATCGAAACTATAAATTGTAGTTTTGAATCATACATTTCACTATATGTAGATCTATCTTAATCGATCGTGAAATTCTTTCTTTTAGTTTATTTCTACTTAGTATTTAATTTAAATGTAAAAATTTTTTTTTTTATACCAGCATGTGCTTGATATTTTTTCATAATTTTACCACTCATTACATCAATATATAAAACTCGTTTATCACCACCACCTAAAAACAAAAATAAAAATTTTGAAAATCTTAATTGATAAATTAAATTAATACCAGAACATAAACGACTATTATCATATGAACTATGTACATCAAGTACTTCTTGACTATGTCCTGTATATGTTTTAATAGCTAAACTACTATCAGGTTTCCATAATTTAATTGTACGATCACTACCCGATGTTAAACAATAATTTCCATCAATATTATATCGTACACAACGAATAGCTCCTTGAGCAGCTGGAAATTTTCGTTCAAGCTATTTTAAATAAATGAATATAATACAAAAGAAAAAACAACATTCACAAAAACACACACACCTGCATTTCATCAGAACAATTTTAAAAGAATAAAATCTCAAATCTATAAAAAACAAAAATAATAAAACGTTTTGTTTTTTTTTTTTTTTTTGAAATGAATATATTTTAAAGAGTAATATTTTATTGATCAAAATAAAAAGAAAAAAAATGAATACATTGTCTAGTTACTACTAAGAATAAGTTCATATGCTTGAATAATTAAATTTGCAACATCGGGAACTTTTGTTTTAAGTGAAAACTAAAAATAAAAAACAAAATAAATAATTTATTTTAAAAATTAGAATAAAAAAAATTCTTTTTCTTACAGCGATTGTTCGATTTCCTGGTGTAATTTTTAATTCAATTAATATAAAAATTCCATTGGTTAATTTAATTGTTTGATAAAGCATTTCTTTTTGTTCAATTATTGTTCGTGTTATTGTATGTATATTATTTAAACGTAATTTATTTTGTAAATCATCAATTGATAAATTATTTATATTTTGTAATTGATATTTAATTTCATTATTTTCTGGTATATCTTGCCATGTTTGTAAAAATGTCATTTTATCTATTTCACCATTATGAACAAAAAGAATATGTATTGGTACAATACAATTAAAATAAAATATATCAATATTATTTTTAATAGCAATTTGAAGATTTGTTAATGGATCCATTTTCATAATTGGTCCATTTGCATTTAATATTAATTGTATTGGTATTGTTTGATTTGGAAATAATGGATTTAGTATTTGTAATGGTTGTAATGGTGTTAAACCAAAACTATTACGATTTAATTGTAATGCAAAATCATTCATAGATTGTAATGCTTTATTTGTAAAATCCATTTCCATAACAATTTGATTATTACGACGAGCAAATGTACCAGATATTTCAAGACCTTTACCTTTTTGAGCACTTACCCAAATCTTAAAAAAACAAAGAACAACAAATCTATACAACAATGCATTTAACACTTCCGATTAGAGTGAATATTTACAAATACATTGGTTGTACAATGTAATAAAAGATTTATCTATCAAGTTAAAGTGTACCTATAAAAACTGCGAATACTGCTAAAGCTGAAAAATACAGATAGGGTTTGAAATGAATATCATACGAACATCATTCCTAATACAATAGTCAATTCATTAAATGTTGAAATTCCCCTAGACTGAAAGGCTAAGGTCTAGAAATCATAATTCACCTGTGTCTGTCTGTAACAAGTGCTCGGCACAAATGACCATTTACATGACACAAACGGCCATAAAAATACAACTATCTGCTTGTCATCATTCCGTCAGTCTGGGGCCCAGTGAACCAATCTTTGTTGATGAATATTACTTGTTTAATTTTGAATATGGATGTCAGTTTCGGGTTCTCATTCCTAGGAACCCGGAACTAGAGCTGGTATTTTGACTGTTAAAGTAGAGATTTTTTCACTAAAACAAAGCTTTGTTTAAGAAAAAAAACCGATTTGTTACAAAGCTTGACCGAAGGTAATCGAAGTTGAGGAATCCGAATCTGAAATCGGTTTTTCGAAATTTTGAGTTTGATTTTGTTTGCAAAAAAAAGTTTATTTCTTAAAAAAATGATTTTTTTGTTTTTCGAGAAACCGATTTCGGATTCCTGGACTCTGATTACCTTTGATCAAACTTTATAGAAAAAATCTCCACTTTAACTTTAACTATTTTATTAAAGTATTTTTACTGCCAAACTCAAGTTTCGCGCTCCTAGGAACGGGAATCCATAGTGACTTGGTATATAATAAAAGAATAGGTATGTATAGATATCCCCGGCTGCTCGAAAATGCATGGAAGCGAATTTTCAAGTGGCTTTCTATGAATCCTGACACCCTTAATTTTGACTAACAAAACATTGACTGAGTTTCCAGCTATTCTATTAATCGCTAATTTTTTTTTAGTCATTTCTTCTCTACGAAATATTTTATAAACGAAATAAAACTCTTCATTCATATATGAAATTAATGTTTAAGATTTGGTCGAAATAAATTTTACGAAATCACGTATTCGTTATAGTCGATTATGAATTATTTGAATATAAAACGGACCAGAAATATTGATCATACCGGTTATCGGCATGATAATATTCATATGGTATTATCATCTAACACTTAAATAACACCAGTATGTTAGTTATTAGTATTTAGCATTTTAAATAATATTGAGATCTATGGACTAGATTTATTATCATAATTATCTGTCAATTCCATTTGTCATAAAGTGTATTTATATAACCTTTCAGTTTGTTTATCAGATTTGCAATACAACATCTACTTAGTCAAAAGACAAATGCAGAGGAAAGAAAGATTGCAAGAAAATTAGTAACAGCTGTAAACCGTCAATGTTTTACTTAATTACTATTTTGATGAATATGTTATTTGTTAATATGGAACAATTTGGTAAGCGAAATTTTCTTTTTTCTTTTTTTTTTTGGTTTTTGTCTCGATCATAGAAAAATATTGATATCCAAAACATTAAAAAAATTCGATATATTGTATGTCATATATCAAATAATTCTATTTAGTAATCATTCTCTTTCAATGAAAATTCGAAATTAATAAAAAATCTATTACTAAATATCTTACTTCTTTTGGTAAAACCAATGTATTAGGGCTTGAAAATGAAATACTAGAAGGACCAGTATGTAAATTAATATCACCAAATAGATCATCAAGATCATTTCCAGTACTTGTAGTTAAACGATTTATTGGTAATGATGTATTTGTATTCATCATTGGTGTTTGATGACCACCTACATTTGAATCTAATCCAAGAATTGATGAAAGCTCATCATCAAGTAAATTTGGTATAGCAGATGAAGTTTGTTGTTGTGTATGTTCAAAAGTATTCATTGTTGTTGATGATGTATTTGACATTGGACCCAACATATCAAAATCATCAATTAATGAACCAACATTACTACTAATAACGACTTGTTGTTGTTGTTGTTGATTAGTTTGCATTGTAGTAATATCTTCATATTCATGATGAATTCCTGTACGAAATGGTAGTTTTTTTTTCATAATAAATCGTCCTTCAACAAATGTATTTGGTGGTTTATGATAAACAGATGCTAATGAACCAATATGACAAATAAGTTCATCGAGAAGTGTTGGTTCTAATAAATCTGTTTCTTCTGATATAAGTGGTTTTTCAGCTAGAACAACTTCTTTAGCTGCTTTTGGATCTGTTGATAAAAGACGCCAATAAATATAACCACGATCACGTAAATCAGGATTGTCTGTTTCCTTTAAAAGCAAATATTTTAAATTTTTAAAGAAAAAAAGCATGTTTTTAATTAATCAAATACTTGTGTAACAAGTGTTAAAACTTTTGTAACTAATTCTTGTGTTTCAGTTGGTTTTTTAAGAAAAAGTTTAACAATAGCAGTTAATAATTGTAATTGTACTTGATTATTTTCATCTTTAAAACCATCAAGAAAACCTTCAAGTAATTCATCAGCATTATCAATACGTTCAGCATATTCACCAACAATCCAAATCATTGAAGCACTAGAATAGATTTATATTGATTTGAATCAAAGAAAAAAATATTATTATTATTATTTTTTTTTCTTATACCGAGCTTCAGGTTCATCAAGTGAATCAAGATTTTCACATAATATTGCAATTATACTTTCATATTTATTTGGATATTTTCGAAATATATCCTAAAAAGAAATAAATTTTTTTTTCTATTATAACTAGGGAACTCAGATCCGGATCCAACTAGGGCCCGATGACTCGTTTTTGTGGATCGGCTACTCCCTACAACAATCAGATGTAACCGTATGTTGAGGTTTTTTCTGAGAGTGACGGATAAATAGCTGAAACCTTGCTAGGTATTGATGGAAAAAGCTTCGAGCTTGGATCCGAGACCACAAAAACGCGAACGCGCAGTTCCCTAATTATTAAAAAGTTTTTAGACAAGATGTTTGTCGTGTCGGAAATATTTTCTAATGAAACAAACATCTTGTCGAAAAGCTCTCTGATCATTCATTATATTAAATGAAAAAAAAAATACAAATTACTTTAATCACAACAATAGCTTCTTGTACAACATAATTAACTTTTGTTTGAATAAGATCAATTAATGTATTAACACATCGTTCAGCTGCTGGTTCAACTTTAATAGCACATCGACCAATAGCACGAACAGCTTTACGAACAAAATCTACATCAACTTCAGTAGCATATCTAAATAAAAATGGAATTTTCTTTTTTTTTTCTTTTTGAATAAATTTATCATTAACGTACTCTTTTAATTCAGCTAATACTTGAGCAATATTATTTGAATTTGTTAAACGTATCATAATATCAAGTTTTTCAAGTTTAACATATATTGGATCATTATATTTAACAAAAAATACTTTCATTTCATTTTTAAGTATATCCGATCTAAATTTTCAATTAAAATTAAGTTTCATCTCAAACGGATGCTTTCTCTCCGAGATAACACATCTGCAAACTTTCTCACTAAAGCTTCGAACATACACCGTTTTTTAGATATTCCATTTCTTAACAAAAAAACTCATTCATTCGAATTGAAATTTTTAGGATATAATAATAAGTACTATCGGACGCAAACCACCGATGGTTTGATACTTAAACGGTTGGCTACCAACATTATTCTATCGTAGTATACCGATCGATAATCTTGCAAATAGATGTGCAATGTTGGCTACTATGAGATCTATTAACTATAAGCTTGAACAGAGAATATCAATTATTAGTAAAATTCTCACAGAATATTGATCTAAAGCATAATATCTTACGGTTAAAGAGAAAGTATTCATGCACATACCAATAGATACAATAAAAAAAATAATTATTTCTTATCTTTTATGAATCTCATGATAAACAAAAAAATTTTATTTACCGTTTTTGAACAATTAAATTAATATTTCTTAAAGCAACATATTGAATTTCAGGTTCAGTTGATAAAAGTGTTACTAGTGGTGGTGCTAATTTACGATATAAATTTTGAACGAATTCACTATTT